AAAAAAAAAAAAAAAAAAAACATTGCCTAAAGTTTGCTTTTTGTTACAATTTGGGCTACTACAAATTATATTTCTGTTTAACGTTCCATAAATGTAGGTTCAAACATTTCCCTGAAGTTAGTAATCACAATTTGACACCTGGGCTGAAATTATTTTATCATCCCTTGTGCTTGCAGTTCTACTGGCAATATCCCATCTTGATGTACCTATATCCTAAGGTTCATTTGCAACAGTTACATTGTATACAATTTAGACCTGCATGTACTGTGTACCTGAAATTTTAGAATGCCAATCACCATGTGCCTGTCCAGATCCTATGATAACTTCTCCAAGAGTAAATGACAGACCTGACCACCTCAGGTTATAATTGGATGGTGTGCTTTCTTCTGCCTTGGTGATGTACACTTTAGGGATGTGAATTGCTTGGGAAAATGTTTCAAGCTCTAACTTTGATGTCGGGTCATTCAGTGCAAGACAGGTCAAACCAAACCACCTGAAGAGTAAATAAGCACATGTGCAGTACTTAATCACATGATTTGATGCATAATTTGAAAATAATATTAAGCACTTGCATGCATGAAATGAATTTCATTCTTTGAAAAATCTCTGAAAATATTAGGGGAGCTTTGCATATTTTGGAACAGTCATAAAATACATGGCATTGTATAAGACTTTTTGATTATAATTCTCCATTATTGACTACATCTAAATGTATTTCATGGCATCACAGTATGCTCAGAGTGAGAGACCTCTGATGTTCAGTTCATAACTGCATCATACCACATTCTTGAGCAAAAGTAAACTCATTTAGACCTCTTTTCAAATATAAGCCAAAATATGTTGAAAAAGAAAACTCCACCTTCAAATAAGAAATGCATTCAATCAAGCAAACATCCTTAGCATCCCATGCATGAGGAGTATTGCCTGAATACCCTGTGCCACAGATAAAAATGTACATATACATTCTTTCAGAGTCAATGGGCACTAGAACTGCCGACCCATCAGGGTTTTCCAATTCCCATGACTGACAATTAATATATCAAACACACTGTGTTTGACCACATTTCCACACACCGCGAAGAGAGTTGAAAATATGATGCATAGCGCAGTATTTTTGACGAACTTTGAGGTGTTTGGAAATGTGGTCAAACATGGTCTTTCAAGTTTGATATATCTTCTCAATTGACAATAAAACTAAGGAGAAAACAGAGAAATATAATGTTACTGTAAAAATCTATGCTTATTAAGATTAGAAATCCAAACACCATCGCGGTCATGATTTCCTTTGTTTAAACTTGATGAATTTTTTAAAGAGTTTGAGAAGTACATGTAGTACCCTGTAACTTACTTGCCAGGTAGCAGTTCTGACACCATTTCCTCCACTCCAATGATCACCTGTCCCTCTTGAACCTTTTTCCCTCTCATTAGGTTTGCTATTCTGTGCTGTGCACCCTTCACACCTGCCGAGAACCCCACAGGTAAGGGTGCAAGCCCTGATGCAGAGGAATGCGACTGAACTACCACATGCTCAAACACTTGAAGGAAACCATCCTTTATTGCTTCAATGGCCTCTGCATCAGTACTTGTTACAGCTAAGCTTATAGACTGGTCCCTTCCATCTGTTGATCGGGAATTCAGGAATGAGATGCATTATATAAAACTCTATTAGTAGCACACTTTTCAGGCTATTCCAGTGATGCAGGACAAGTATCATTTACATTTTGGATTTGAAATTGCCAAAAATGGGCAACATTTACTGTTATATTGAATTATTTTTTACCCATTAAGACAGTTGACTTAGCATCCTCAAAGGACCACACAGTCTAAAACTACTGCATTGACCTGTGTTTTGAACTCTGAAAATCCAAGTTTGATACAAAAGCTCATGGAAATCCCAACATGTACATGTACATGTAACTGCAAAAAGAGATTTCAACTATGTGCTATTGCAACCAATTCTGGGTCTTTTGTAACAGTAAACTAGTATAATTATTCCATTTGGGAAGTGTAATTTCCTATAGCTTGGCTTGTGTTCTTGAGCAAGAAACTAAAGACCCTAAATTGCTAACAGTCCCAACCTCAACCCAGGCAACATGCCAAAATGCTGCTGGGGGGCAGGGGGTAACCTGAGTTTAAGACTAACGCATTGGCAGGATTAATGGAACAAGTTACAAGTACATAAAAAGAAGAACTAAAATTTCTTACACATATAATCCTCCATTTCTGGGTCAAGTGTTGTAATCACACTTTCAACAGAAGTCTAGGAAAGAAGAATATAACAAAATCATAACCACAGACCGCATGCACATTATGTTTTATCTTCGTACAAGCAAAGCTGTCATTAAGGGCTGTATGACTGATGGGCCCTTGATGTTAAGGGTGAACTAATGCTAATTGTTGACATAATTCCCCTAGAGTGCATTGAGTTTATTACAGGTGTGAAAATAAAGGCAACAGCTGACTCAAAACTTGAAGACAGCACTGACATGATATCTAGGAGATTAGAAAACCCACTCCAACAGGTCAGACTGGAAATTTGGTGAAAGGTCAGGAGGCTCCCAGTTGCCAGTATGGAAATAACAAATTATTCCAGCCTCACGTGGTGTATTATGCTTAAGAATTTAACTACGGAAAATATTTTGTATAATTTGGGAGAAATCAAATTTCAATCAGTACTGTGTCAAAACCTTCTTTTACAAAGTGTTTTATAAGATTTGAAGGCAGTCATTTTTAAGTTACTGTTACCAATGTTTAATACCAAGTAAAATAATGATTTTATGTTAAGTTTACCGGGCTTTAAGCTTAAACTACAATAATTTAAAAATATTTACATGTAAAGCCCAAGCTTAATCGGGCTTGAGCCTATAAGCTTCTATTTACATAGTAACTAAAACTTACAGACCCTAAGATAAACGCAGAAGAAAAGTTTATGCCCAATACCTTGGTCTTCTCTACAATATTTCTACCGATGTTTTGCGTAGTTTGTAACCCAACCGACACAGCACTGGACATCCAGCCCCAAACTCCTCCACTTTGTTCCTCGTCGCTGTCTTGACCAGAATTCTGTCTTTGCCACGTTGATGACGATGAACTCGAAGAAACATTCGCTGAACTTTTACTACTCGACGTATTTTCCGAAAGAATGGAAGAAGAAAGGTCCGGCCTTATTTTTTGCTGAACAGGGCTTGCTGTTAGTCGATCTACAGGCTGCGAAGGAGTTGAGGTCACGGCTGATAAACTCGATGTTTTGTCCGTAGAAGAAACAGAAGACGAAACGTTAGACGTTGCGTTTGGCGAAGTAGAGTCAATTTTTACGTAGCCCTCCTCTTCCAAAGCGCTTTCCACTTCTTTCACAATGTCCATGTTGTGTGGAGAACCTTGAAATCTTCGAAACTCTTTAATAATCCTTTCGTCGGGTATAGTTTGCGCCAGAAATAAAAGTTACGTACATTGAACACAAGACAAGTACTGAAGATTCCATCCACTGATGAGTAGGCACCATGGTAGAGCCTCGCTTTCGCGTAAGAAAAAAAAAAAAACCATATATATTATGAAAGGGAGGGGTGGGAGGGTGAGTTAATGACTTTTGTAATGACGTTTATTTCTCCTTGGCCAATCAGATTCTATGATAGAATGAAACTCGAGTGCTTCTCGCAGCGAATACCTCACGCAGTGTCTCACGCAGTAGTTCTGGGGTTATTTGAGCTAAACTGTGATTGGCTTAGAATTCCTACGTCACGGAAATCGTTTTCTGGCTCGGGTTCGCAGACGTTATTTTTCGGCGGAACCAAGTGACAGCCGGAAATACGTCTGTGTTTGCAGGCTAGATAAAGGAGGGTGAGAAAGTGGGCATCATTTCGTCACCACGCCAAAGAGACAAAAACAAATTTTTAATTAACTTTATTTCCACGCTAACAGACCAAAAAAAAAACACTACGTACAATGAAAAATACTTACAATACAACACTACAGTACAACATTTATCTACTACCTACTTGGTTATAGTTACAGTATTTACATTCCAGAAAAATTAGAATTATACTGGGCCTTGGCACTTATATGGATCAGGAATGGAAATGCCCAAACATTGTATTTAAGTCTTGAGTATTATGCTACATTTGATGCTCAGGTCTGGGCTTGGCCCAAAGTTAAAACACTCTACCAGGTTCAAGCAACTACTATGCTATTCCCTGGCCTGGATCCAGGGATTCTATATTCGTTAGACTTTAATTACCTAACTACAAGTCAACCCCTATTAAACAGCCAACCTTGGGGAAATGGATAGTGGCCGCTTAAAGAGGGCTGGCAGTTTAATAGAGGCAAAGACTACACAAGAACCATCATCGGGACTTTGATTACTGGCAGCCTAATAGGGGTGGCCATTTAATAGGTGGCCACTTAATAGGAGTTCCAGACTGTAGTCTGTTTTGACTTACTCCAAAGCATTTGACATGGCTTTCCTGACAGTTTACTAGTGCCCCTTAATTGTATGCTCCAGGATGGAAAGAGAAAGACACTGTAAGACTTAGGTGTAATACCCAAGAACAAAATGCACTGGACTGGGCATGGCGGCATGCCAGAACTTTCTGGTCAACTCTAATCTGAAGTCCTATGGGTCTCAAGCCTTTAGTTTCAGCCTGTGAACTCTGGAACAGTCTACCTCATAGCATCTGTTCATGTGACAATTTAAGTAAAAAAATATATCCTTTTTCAAACTTTTAAAAAGACTTTTATTCGTAGTGATTGTATCTTTTTTGATTATTACTTTTAGTTGTGTATTTTGAAAATACTATGATGTGCCTAGAGCAGGAGAGGACAGGTCCTTTTAAAGTGTTAATATTATTGTTATTATAAAAAATCATTAGCACTACTGCTACCAAATATAAGTCTGAATTGAATAAGATGGAATAGTTTCTGTGATGATTCCCAGCTTTTGGTCAATGATCTCAAAGGTAATATTTCTTGGCTCTGGGTTAAGAATCACCAACACTGTGTTTATCTCTGGTGTTAAAAAACCAATAAACTCCAGGGAAGTTTCTTCAGAGCTGTTAACTTCAATTCTTTGCGATCCAGGTGGAACAAACTTGCTGAAATGGCCAAGATGATAAAACATAGGCTGCAAAAATAAAGCAAAGTCATGTGCATTTGAAACTAATAACTGTTAATAAGCAAGCAGTGGTTTAATGTTTAACTGATAGAACTGATGCTTCTTGTGGTATACCCCTACTTGTTCTCTGCAAGAGACATCTAAGATCTGCTTGACTTTGTCTGATTTGCCAATACTCATACATATTGGCAAGAAATTGCACCCAAGTAGGCCCCGGCTGGTAGGGTCTAATTGCGGTTAGAGTGGCCTAGAGAAACTGGCTGAGACTGAAGTGGCCGGGGATGGGGTGGGGTTTGGTGCCCATCCTTGACTTAAGAGCCTGTTCACAGGCTACCAAGTAGGTAATCATTCAGGGTAAGTCTACACAAGTAAAAAAACGTCTTGAAGCTCAGATATCTTTGTTGCTGAGAAAAAGTTTTGAGCAAATGACAAAAGACTCTTTTAAGAGGAATAGGCCAGGAGAAGAGGAGGAGAGAAATTAGTAATGTTTGCAAGAATATGCAGCTGGATAGATCTACATAATAAAGTGTATTATC